CCTCGCTTTCATTGCAGCATCAGCCAAAGGGGATGCTGTTGAGGTAAGACCGACTTCTTCCAAACTGCTTTTTTGAGATGCTGTGGGAAATAGGTTTTTTATTATTTAACCCCTGGGGGAGAGAATGGGAACAGCAGGAGTTATATTTTGCCAGCTATAATTCAACCAGTGTCCAGACTTGGAACAAATAATGCTTGGAAGGCATCTAGTGAAGTATTTATATTGTGTTGGATCCAGCAGTCAAGCAAATCCATCACAGAATTAGATGGGAGTGTTGTATAAGTAAGAGGTTTAAAACCTGAGCTGGTAACATTTGTTCTTTTCTCAAGGATGTTATAGATTCCTCTGGCCATTTTTCTTTATTTTGCAGCATGAAAAACACTGAAACAAAAAATGATACAGCACATTGCGTCCACTGCATAAATTGGGCTCCTTCATTGTTACTGCAGGAATGACAACTTCGAAATTTTCCTTCCACGACCTTGTGGTCTATATTGCACTTTTATCTGTTTAAAGTAAGACAGCTTGCTCGTGAATCAGACTGCCTACATTTGACACCATCAGAGGGTGATGTGTTTGGAACGTTGATTGTTTTTATTTCCCAGCTGTATCAGGAAAAAGAGATAGATGATAAAATGCAAGCATTCTCTGATGATGTTTGGCACCTATTTTGTAAAGGTGGAAATAGATGCAAGGCAGAATCAAGCTTTCTGTCTCTTGGGCAGAAAGCATGCAAAGACGTTCAACTCCAAGATACTCGGGGGCCACGAAGAGCCCTGAGCCTCTCTGTGCAGGCCAGACTGCTGCAAACACCACCCTGGTAGACCTCCATCTTCTACATTCCTCTTGTCATCTCTGATATTTTTGATGTCTTTCCATGTCCTTGCAGAAGGAAGGCACAGTAGAGGAACAAGCTCCCTTGCCTCTGTTTCTGCAATAGCTTTAGCATTGCAATAAGAGTAAGTCCAGCCCAAAGAAACAGAGGAGAGGATGCCATAGAGAAAGTGACTACAAATTCTCCATCAGTTTTGCATCTACTTTTATGATTTTGGATTGGATTTTTTTTCCTCTTCCTGAACCTCCCTTACAGAGGCCAGACATGCCCCTGATCTCAAAAGGAGACTCTGAAAAATTAATTCGCAACCTAATGGTCCCACTTCGTAATTAATTTATTCCTCATCTTGCCATATAACTGTTTCTCTACCTAACTGACTCACTTTGGTAATAGTTCCCTGCATAATTGATTCATATTGCTGTTGATTCTCCCCATTTTTATTTAATACCAGAAATGATTTGCTCTGTAACTGCTTCACTGCTTAGCTCATTATCTACACGACTGCTTGGTATCATAACTGATTCCCTGCTTAACTGGCTCAGACGATGGCAAACTGCAAGCAGTGGCCATCCACTTTTCACCTCCCTTTCCCTATCCCACACTAGGGATTTTGAGGGATTTTGAGTGTTCTACAGCTTTCCTGACACCATTTTACCTCCTCAGCCCATTTCAAAACACCTCTAGGCTCTCATCCTGATGCTTCCAGACCCCTGTCTGCAGTGAAGGGCATCCTTCCCCTTCACTCTCACAGCAGCATCGTGGTCTTCAGAGCTTTGCCTCCGGATCTCTTCACAACCCAGTCTCTCCCCATCTTTCATACCTTTATGCTAGTCACTTCTGTCTTCCTTTCACCCCTCTCACATCCACATCTGCCATTCCCACAGACATTTTTGGTCATCTGACTCTCATGAACTTTTTTTCACTCACTTATGCATGCTGACTTTGTCTTGTATATTGACAGTGCCCTACCTGAGATCTCTGGGAACAAGTGTAATATAAATAATAAATATATTTACAGAAAGTCAGATAGAGAATATATATCCATTCCAGCTTCTTTCCTCCCTGTAGGGCTGCTTTCATGACTTCAGTCTATTCCTTTCTTTTTCAGTTGCTTGGAAATTATATTTTGTTGCAGAACCTCCCTCCGTATGAGCCAGATATCCCACATGCAATTGGAAAGGAACAAGGACTGTCTGACTTTGGACAGGCAGCTGCAGGACTCCTTTAGGAAAGGAGTAAGGCCAGGAAAATGAAACTCTTTCAACTTAGAGTATTCTCCACATAAAAAAGAAAATAAGGAATACTTATAGGAAATTGCCTTCCTTACCTTTGCCTCCCTGAATTCTGCAACCCGGTGCAGCTGCTTCTGCCCCTCTGTGCTGATTCCTCCTGCCTTTATTTAGCCGAAGGCATCAAACACATCAATATTTTGCATCAAGGGTAATTCTTAGGTTGGAGGGAGGGGATACTGGCTCAAATTGATCTCCAGTGGTTTTGATAGCTTTATACACAGAACGTATTCTTCAGTTCATTACACAGGTAAAAAAATAAAATAAAAGATGGGTAATGAGAACTTAGCAAGATTTAATATTCTAATACAAATGCCATTTCTTATTGCTGTTGACTTGACTAAATACTACACCTTCCATTTTCAAGAGATGAGAAGTAACAGCGGGGACATATCTGGAAATCGGGGCAGCTTCCACAGCACCACACTCTGCTGCTGGTTACTGCAAGGTGCTTGCTGCAGAACCCTGTTTTACAAACCCCGAAGTGGCTCTTGAGCAACTTGGGGGAGCAGAGCAATTGTTTTAAACCGTGTCTGAACCCTAGACTTAGAATTGAAGTGGTGTTGGTAGCTGGCACTACTAGCAGTTACTGCCATCTACGGGTAGAATCATTTTAGCTTTATTGCTCTCAGGAATTCTGGCTGTGTCTTTGTTAAACACAACATATCTGTTCTTGCACATAAACTAATGTAATAAGAGAAATATCAGTGACAGCTCCCCTAAAGAAAGGAAGAAAAAAACCCAAATAGCAGTGCATGGACTTTACCTCTGCATCCACCTGAGAACAGTGAAAAGTGCTCAAACACCCAGAATGATTATCTGCCATACACTAGGAAAGCAGTGATGTTGCCCTATTTTCTTCTCTCAGTATGTTGGGGGAAAATCTTCTCTCTACAAGTGCTGGGAAAAAAAAATGTCCCTGACATAGCAGCACTGAAATTATTCCAAATGCACCATGTAATTTGCATGTTAATTTGAATGGTATTATAATCTTTTTATTTAAAAAAAAATCCTTTAAAGTGGGAAAGTATTCATATACAAGTGGTTCTCTGTCTTTTCTGAACGGAAAAACTCTCAGTCTGGGAGTTTTTAGCTTTTTGCTCTTGGAATTGAGAGTGGTTGAGTGTATTCATCACTCCTGACAGCTGTTAATCCCCCTCAATGCTAAATAATCACTATGTTAAAATATTAGAAGTAAGTATAGGGACTATTTCATGCTATTTTGCCTTGCACCTGTGGTCCATTCTTCTCACAGTGGCCAGTTCCAGATGTTTAAGATGAAAAGCAGAAAACATCTATAGTAGAAAATTAACAAAGATAACAGGAACCAGTCCCTTGCTATTACTGGTCAGTCCCTTGCTAATATAGGCAACTATATCATAAAATCTCTTTCGTAAGCCAACCACACCCACCTCCAAACTGCTTTTGGCTTTTGATACCTCCTCATCCTGGGAAGCTTTTCACCTAGACTCTTCTGTTAGGCACAAACATTTTAATTTTCAGTCTCCATTTATTCAAAGCCATTTTATACCATATGTTCTTCTATCAGTAATATCCTTTTGCATAAACTCTTTTTTTTTCCTTATCTTTGTTTTGCATTTATGCTATTTTATTTACAGAGGGAAGCAAGATGCCCTCTCGGTCTTGGTTTGGCTAGCCAATCTCCTTTTAATCTTCTATTATAGAAAAGCCTCCTTGCTCCCCTTCACTGTCCTATTGACACTCAGTTACGAGTTCCACGATGACTTCATCTCTCCTCTATTGCAGTGACCAAAGCTGCATCTTGTATTTGAGATGAAGTTATACTCTAGGGTGACTAACACTTTCCATGCTACTTGACATATCCTGGGTTACCTTTGCTTTCTTTGCAGCCGTGGCGCATAAGCTATAGTCAAAGACATCTCATAGCACTTATTTTGCCTTGCCCTCTAGTTTTCATGTGAGCAGCTTCCAAAGTACAGCAGATATTGTGAATAGTCCTTGCTTTGCACTTCGTATTACTTGGACATTTCTACTATCCCAGTTTTTAAAGTCATCCAGCTCTTCCTAATCCTCCTTTGCCCCCTAATGTCTTTGCCACCAGCAGATTTCACGTTATTTTAACTGAGGGGGGTTACAACTCCATATATGAGGAAATGCAGTGTGCCTGCCCAGATCAAGTCTCAAGAGTTAACGTCACCTTCGGCACATTTTTCACTTATAGTCTCCGAACAGCATCCAGTGACTTCTGTGGAGCAATGCAGAGATTAAAGACAAGTATTAAGCAACCTAGAACCACAAGGTAGCAAAAAGCAGTTTATCCTCTCCGCTCCTGGTCTGTGACTACTGGCTTGCACCACGGTGCAAAGGTTAGTCCCAAAGGCCCAGCTAGGAAATCAGGTCTTGAGCTACCGCAGATCCCCAAGGAGCCTCTGGAGCTCAGCGAATTCAACAGCTAACTACTATATTCTGATCTCCAGCCTAGAGGAGGCGGAAAGAGGGGTTATGGAAGATTACTTGGGAAATTGGAGAAAAAAAAAAGGTGAAAAACGTGAAAAACTTATCTCTGGCACAAAGTCATTTGCACCAGGCAGAGGTTAAGTGTAAAAACCTAGAGGTGAGCGCAAGCCGCAGAGCGTCGCCAGCAGCTTCCCTGAAATGAGAGGTTGCTTTCCTTGGAGAAGACGAGAGCGGACACTGCTGGGACAGGTCTCGTGCATTTGACTCTGCATGGGCTGATTCTCTTGCCACTGCCACCTTCGTCTCACATTTTGTAACAGAAAATCGACTGCAAAATGAAAACTCGCAGACAGTATAAAAGGAGACACTTCGGCAGTCACAATTTTGTCCTTTAATCGCAGTAGGAAGGCTTTGAAAGGGGTCTTTGAAGAGCAAGTATGAAGGAAGATGTTACACATGGGGATGGTCTGTGTCCCAGCGGGTTTCGGTTTGGCTTGGCACACACCAAGCCCACACGTCTGTCCTCCTGGACCCGGGTTTGGACCGGAAAGGGGGAGGCCGGTGGCCCCTTGAGGCCTCCTGCCCGTCCCG